GTTAGTTATCATTAACCATTTAGTGGACTTCAAACTTCACAGAGAGGAGGAACATCAAGGTGACAAAAGTCGAATAGGGGTGGTGGAGGGGGAAAGAAGAGTGTTACGAAGATGTAAAAGAGTCACACACACACAAATGTAGAAAAAGATGAGGCGAGTACTATGGAAGTAATCGAATATGACGTACAATGGGAATTATGACAGTTTGAAGTCAGAAGTCAACTACGGGTTGATAGACATTTTTGCCCTATAAGCGTGCACTGCCCAGGGTGCATCACGTGGAGGAAAGTCTAGCTTACACCCCTATTGCAAATAAATATAATCAGCTCATCAGCTCACGCAAACGCAGGAATGAAATTTTCGAAGTTTTAGGGGATTTTAATATTCTATGCAAATCAATTAGATCAATCTCTGTGGTTGGGGTGCGCGATAGACTTACCTCCACATGGTGCACACTGGAAACGTATTTTCATACGGCAAAAAAGTCTATCACTTGGCAATTTCGACTTTAATTTATTATGATTAGCTGGAGGAATGTCTCCGGACAAAAAGATCCATGTACAGAAAATCCTAAAACCTATGATGTAGACATTTTCACAATTATGGAAGCTAATATTTCGGATGACAAACTGAAGTACTACCAATTCCCAGGTTACACCCTGTACAATCTACCTAAATACCGGCAAGTTGCAAGTGGAATTCTAACTGGAGTAAAATAAGGCCTCACCTCACACTACGATCTAATCAAGAGTATGGGCTCGACACAAGACAAATGTGAAATAATCAGATTAAATGTTTGGAAATGTCAAAATCACTTCAAGATATATGCAGTCTATAATCCACCTCTGAATTGTCCAAACTTTGACTTTCTAAACGTCTCACACAAAACTGTAGTATTAGGAGACTTCAACGCCCACTCCACCAGATGGGGCTACAAGGATACAAACATAGCTGGAAAGGAAAGTGAAGACATGCTAAACAGCAACCCTCTGGAACTTATTTACAGCAATGAGGATCCGTCTACATATTTGCACTACAATGGAACCAGAACAACTCCTGATTTACTCTTGGCTTCAAGCGACATCAGTGAGCATGCACGCCGCAAAATAATTGAAGATCCTGGTTCTGGTCACAAACCAGTCATTGCTCGTATCACCATCGGCAGCAAAAGCATGTCAAGGAAAGTGCCAACAAAGCTATCATGGAACTTCAAGAAGGCTGACTGGCCTAGATTCACAAACCTTTTAGAGAATGAACTTCACACAAGTGCCCTCAACTTCAACCAACATCCTGACAAACTTTGCACTGATATCACGAATATTATGATCAGATGTGCAGAGAAAACTATCCCCCGAGGCAAGGCTAAACAATATCGAGTATTTTGGTCAAAACACCTTGAGGAACTGAAAAGAAAGAGGGACGACCTTCGCAACATTGCTGATCAGACTAGGAGAACGGAAGACGTAGAAGCCTGAAGACGACAATTAGCTGTCCTAAGTCAAGCCATCTTACAAGCAAAATGGACTTTCTTCGACAAATTTATCTCAAATATCAACTATCAAAGTGATAGCCAACGCACTTTCCAACAATATCAACTATCAAAGTGATAGCCAACGCACTTTCAAATTTCTGGAAAGTGATAGCCAACGCACTTTCAAATTTCTGAAAAACCTGCTGCCAACGCACTTTCAAATTTCTGAGAAACCTGCAAAACAAAATTCAAATTCCTGGGTAACCTCCAAAACAACAGAGAAAGACAAAGAACCAATACGCTTAAACAGCAAATTGCTTACCACCGATAAGAACCAATACGCTTAAACAGCAAATTTACCAATAAGTTTTAAAAACAAACAGCTTACCACCGACTCCAAATACGCTTAAACAGCAAATTTCTTACCACCGACTCCGAAATAGCTAACTGCTTTGCGAGGTTCTATTCCCACAAGCAAAATAAAACCCTTTTGCCAGAAAATCTTCAAGAGATTTAAAGCTACAAGTAAGAGAGTTGGGTGAAGTTAAGGAAAGTATACACTCAACCCACATGCCCTCTATGTAACCTACATTTGAAATGGAGAAGACCCACCTGATTCGGTGTCCAGCTCTAACGACAACGACGGAAAGCCAGAGATACTGGGAAGCAAGAAGAGGGACGACAGAAGACCCACCTGATTCGGTGTCCAGCCCTAAAGACAAGGAAACCCACATGCCCTCTATGTAACCTACAGGAGGAAATGGTATCATGCCCCCTATGTAACCTGCAGGAGGAAATGGAGAAGACGCACCTTACTCGGTAACCTACGTATACACTCAACCCACATGCCCTCTATGTAACCTACATTTGAAATGGAGAAGACCCACCTGATTCGGTGTCCAGCTCTAACGACAACGACGGAAAGCCAGAGATACTGGGAAGCAAGAAGAGGGAGGACGGAAAGCCAAAGATACTGGGAAGCAAGAAGACAGCAAATGAATGTAATTAACTGCTATAAATGTATCCCCCCCCCCTCTTGGGGTAGGAATTAACTGCTATAAATGTCCCCCCCCCCTACCCTTGGGGGAAGCTAACTGCTATAAATGTACCCCCCTCACTCTTGGGGGAAGCTGAAGTCAAAGATTAAGGGCTAATGATAAATATCATAAAGCCTGCCATTTGAAATAAATAAATAAATCTCTGTAGTTCGACTTAAATGATTTTCTGCTCACGGTATTTAATTAACCGAGAAGTAACACGGTGTAACATTCCAGACTCTGTTGTAAACATGAGGATGCCCAGGTGTGTGCGTGTTAGCATGTTCACCAAATCCGTGCTAATTTAAGACATTGGCTCTAATCAAATTTAAGCCACCCTTTTCGTTTAGAATAGAATTTTAATTACCAAACTTTGATAATTTCTTCCAATCATCGAAAACCTTTCATTATATAATCGAATAGTAAAATATTTCAGTTGAGCGCATGCCTTTCGGATATATCAAAATGCCTTAACTTTTCAAGTATATCACTAGACTTTCTCGAAATATGCTTTAATCGTATAATATACATAGAAAATGGAACCTTCATGCATATAAATTTTTGAATGAAAACAGCATGTCAAAGTGCATTATGTCTTTGCGATTTGAATGGGGCTCTTGTGACATTTAGCACGATTTGCCAAATAAAATTTTAGAGTATTGGGTATTTTTCAAAAGATTTACGGTAATCAATGCATTTTAAGTTGATAGAAAACGAAGGATAAAGCTGTCTCATGCTCTCTTAGTATCATTTTGCAGATAATATGCGGAGTTTTTCTCAGATATGACAAGCCTTTGAAGCCGGTTTAGTAGGTGTTATAAGAATCCACTTCCCATAATTAAAAAAGAACGCTGTATTTTTATTGAGATTGTCTTTGAATTACGAAAATATATTATGATTTAAAAAAAACAACTTTGTTTTACTTAAACTTTAATTTAAATGTGTTAATGATTTCCAACCCATTGTTTAGAATATCAAATGAGTTAGCAAATTCGGCTTATTATTTAAGAAGTCTTAAAATCTAGAGGTCATCACATTTTCATTTTTATAAGGCATCAAATTTAATATTATCGTTAAACTTGCTTATTTGTTTTGATTTCATATCTATTTAAG